GCTCGCTCTTTACGACTTAATTTCTTACATTGATTGCCACGACCTAGAACTCCTAAAAAAAAAAAAAAAAAACCTAATACATCTCGAAAGAGCGTCTATGGCAATCTCTTAATGTCGACATAGCGTAAAAAGCGGGATAATCGATCGGCCTTGCAGGAGAAAGGAAAAATTGCCTGGATCGAGAAAAACGGTAACATCGATCCTCATTTTGTAATTAATAAACGTAGATAGAGGTTGTTGCCGGCTCTGTCACCAAGAAAAACGGCAGGATGCAAACTTGATGTTTTCGTGTCTTCCTGATGCGATTTACGGTGAAACGATGGGTTTCTAACCATCCACAATAATGATAGACTTTTAAAGAGGTTTCCGGGATTGTCCAGAGACGTGAGATGATTGGCAAACTTCTTCTAACGCTTTGGATATTACGATGGACCAGTTTTATCGGTGAGCATTATTAATCATTTTATCATGCAAATAATATAACGTTATTGTGTTAAAACACAAGTTAAATAAATGTTATCATTGTTATAATATGTTGAAATATCGTTTTTCGAAGATTTAATATTAAATTTTTTTTCTTTTGATTTATTACATATGATGCGAGAATAATTTTAATTTTATTTGTAATATTAATTATATATAATATATATTATAATATAATATAAAAAATATATAATAAAAATAAATAAATTAATTTATTTAAAGAAACTTTATTTACTTGTTACTAATCATAAATAAATAAAAGCTTTGAAGTGAAGATATCTATTAATTTAATTCGCTTTTATTCTGAACATTTTATTCATTTAAAGAAAACAGGCTACATAGTTATATTTAATATCAAAGAAACAAATAATAAATTAAAAACATATTCTAATTAAAAACATATTCTAATTTTAATTTAATAAATTTAATGGATTTCTCTTATTAAAGATATTCATGTACAATTACTTTTTAAAAAACTCAATCTACTTTGCGTCCTTTAAAAATCAGTCTTTTAGATACAGACATATACGCGAAATTTCTTTTAAATATGCATACATTCGTGACCCGAATTTACTTCTCAGAAATTAGAAATGCTGGTGTTAATCCTTAATATGTGTGTCACAAAAGCGTTACCGAACATTGACGCTTTCAAAAATTTTATTCCAATTCAACAAGATTTAATAAATCATTCGACAACATGTGATGCTAATTGCCGCCGGCACGAGACAATTAAATATTAAATAAATACGCTATTTATTTTACCACTTGCCTCTTTTTCTCTTTCTCTTGCCTTTCTTGCTGTTAATTACTAAGCATAACAGTTTATATAACTTAATTGTTTAATCATCAGTTGGGAGAGACGGTTACCCATAAATAAGTCGGACACTTTGATCGATTCTCGTCATTGTTCTTCCGATGATGTATTCATGACAGACCGTGTCTTCTTTGTTGTAACGAATCGACTAACGCGGCGTGGTTATTTAATCATACCAACCGGGTGTTGAAGTCAACAATGATGTGTTTTTTAAATATGGCTTTTCTAAATGGACGGTGGCTGACCACCAAAGTCCATTTTCACGCTTAACGCTCGAGGAACGAAGAAACGAAGCGTTCGAATATATTTACGTAAGGATTTGCATCTCAATGGGCGGTTTCGAATTTATGCGTACGTCGGACCATATGTATTTCGCAATACTTATTGACATTTTTTACGTCTATGTATGTTTAAATATAAGTCGCAATTTACAATATCGTATTTAGCGGAAAATTTTACTCCGCAATTAAGTTTCTTAATTTCTGCATAATGTTGAGAGTAATTTTGTTATCATAGTCGGAAATAAATTAAACGCTCATGTTTACGTTAAAGTACCTGATAAGCAGGGTTTATCTATTTTATATTTAGAACAGAAAAAAGGATAATAAAATGCTGAACACAGAGAGCCGAGAATTTAAAAAAAAAAAAAAGTAAACACAAAAACTTACAATAGATACTTTTCTTAGAGGAAGAGAGAGAGAGAGAGAGAGAGAGAGAGAGAGAGAGAGAGATTCTTCTTCGTGTTGCATCTGCCGTATAAAATGACTTGTGCTCTTTAGGATCAATGAAAATAAAATTGGCGAGAGAGAAAGAGATTTCAGGCATAATGACATAGGTGCAAATTTCACGGACGCGTTGCCGCAAGAAGTGTTCGGAAAGGTTACACCGACAGCAGTGAAAGCGACGTTCATGTACCGATATTATATGCATGCACGTGAGAGACGTCAAAGATTAATGCAATGATCTCGGATAGTCTCGCGCAATGATGCGACATCCGCACGAATGTGCCAAATTTCCAAATTTCCGTCCTCGCCGGCGGGATTACGCTTTCTAATTTATTCCAAATTAAGATACAGACTTACAAATATCGAGAAGACGATTTGCCAGCCGCGTTATCGTTTACGCGATGACGGACACTAAATTATTTCTGATTTAATAATGCTTAATGCTAAAATTACTTAAATTAATAAATCACAATTATTACAGAATTACTAAGTGCGATCAAATGTATATATTATTTTAATAAAAAATATAATGAAAAATATCGAGGGAATTAATATCTGCAGATATTTTCACGAACCCCGTAATATTTCGAACTTTTGCAACTCTATGTGAAAGTTCGTCTAACATCGTTCTTAACATCGTTTTCATCGTGCAACATGTACTAAAAATAATTCGAGCGCCATAATCCTTATAGTTATAGGCTTTAAATAAATTGTAAATTTCTGATTGAGGAAACAATAGAAATCCATGTGAAGTATTTCGCGCATTTTGTGAAAGCGTTTGTCCGTATGGCCGTGTCCGTGAAACCGCGGCCGATTACTTTCATCGGTTGCACACATATATATTCTGGCAAAATAAATTTCATCAATATAATATCATACAGTCATTTGCGTTTGCAGAAGCAATAAAGATAGCGTGAAAATAACCGGAAGTAAATGTCTTCAGCTTCAAGCTCTCGTGAAGAAAGCCAGAGGCTCGTTATAATTCTCGCAATACGTGACATCTCAATTATACTAAAAAGGCCGAGATTACTGTGAAATATGAGCTTAATTAACAACACTCTCTCTACTGTTAATTATCTCTCGAGATCGTCTTCTTTCGTGTGACTTATTTAAAATGTCTTCAAATATATTAGATCCGATATGAGTTTCGATATTCGTCTCTTCCGATAATTTTATCTTCCAACGAGACAAGAGATGAATGTCGATATATACATTTATGCACATTGATCGATCGAATTTTGTTAGATCATAAAGGTTACTTGGCAATCAAATTCCTCTGTGAATCATCACACACGAATCATTCCGCAAGTCATTGCGGATCTAACCTTTTTTTTTTTTTGTTAGAGTGCGTAGCTCAGAATCACCTTTCTCCGTGCAATTAATTTCTCTTTGCAATGCGAGAGAGGAAGATAGAGACGAGCGGCACGCACGAGAGATCGTATCTCCTGTCGAAGTCGAAGACCGTCGTTTATTTTCAATTAGGTCGAGTCACTTCTGCCCGATAGACGATCGCTAATCAGTACATCGGCCGAGATAGCATCTCGCGAAAAATATTTCTGCACGTTCAATCATCATATTAATTATATTTCATTTGATATTAATATTAGAAACATTAATATAAGAAAACGGATCGATAAGCAAAGATTTTTTAGATATCGGCGTTGATATAATTAATTACGTGATATTAGCATCAGAAGTAGAAGTACAAATAGAAGTATGATTCATTGTTAATCGATTTACATGCTTACATATCACAAGGTGAATCGAAAAGAAAAACTATCCGATGGGATCGAAAGAGAAAGTTCTCCAAAAGCATCGGATCCTTCCAACTGGGTCACAACAGTCATTGTGCCCACGGTGAATAAAGTAAATCGAAATGGCTTTCGAGTGACGGAGTGAGGGATTGGCTGCTTCCCCCAATTTATTAACACGTCAATTTTGCGTGTAGCACAATTTTGCATGAATTAAAACCTCCGCGCTCTCATGTGTAAAATATCAAATGTACGCGCGTTCTGCACGATACCGAGATTAATAGCCGTGTTTTTTTTTCTCTCGCTTCCGTCTGAACGTTGATGATATTTTCAACCAATCTCTGCCAAAATTTGGGTCATCGTTCCACTTTAATCCACCCACGAGGTTTTGTGGAACGATCGAAGAAGGGACGAGGCGACCGGCGAGCGAAACGTCGCTTTTGCAATGACGGCTCGGTCGATCGCTTCGGGCATTCGGGTGCCTAAATGTGTAAGTTTTATCTTCGTGAGCCATCATCAGTGGTCATTAACCCTTCGATGGCCCCGTGGTTTAAGAGTGAAAGGAGCGAAGTGGCCCATACACAACAAAGATTGTTGCGCAAACTTGTTGGCGCGACGTATGTAATGCACTTCAAAGTGGCACGACGTGCATGCGCTAGAAAAATTTTGTGCAACGATAGCTTGCGCAAGTCATTACGTAAGGGTAAAGATACTCACGGGGAAAATTTAAATTTGTTTCATTATTTCACGAAAGGATGACCCAGTGAGATAGAGAGAGAAAAAAAAATCTAATTTCAAAACTAGATATTTCGCAATAAACCATCAAAGAAAGAATCTTTCTTTCTTTCCATCTCCTCCGTTACCTCATGCGTTACTCGCATATTAATCACTTTGAGATGTAATAAAAGTTTGTTCATAGTCCAAGGATATTTTCCATAAAGAGCAGATCTCTAGATATGCGCCTAGAGAAAAAGAATTTGTGGGACATGGAAGCGACGTAACAGTCGGCGGAATGAAAGGGGTGTTGATTTTCATGTCGCTTTGACATGACAATCAACAATCAGAAAACGGTCCCAAGGAAAGCGGATTACGTCCAAACAAATGGGAACCTCGAAACGTCTGATTATCGAATCACACATGCATAATAGCAATTTTGCCGTCGCGCGAAATCAACCAGCTTCCTACTCCGTAGTGGTCGCATTATGCCGGTCATATCGTTATTTCGTAATTACGCCCGGAGGGAGAGGCCGGATTCCGGGTTACGAGGAAGCGAGGTGACGTTTACGGTCCGCTGCTTCGACACTGAAACCCGCGGAGGAACGAACGACGATGAGGGGGCAAAAAGAGACGGACAATTATTTCCAGTCGCGGCGCGATGTCACGCTGTAACAAAACGGCTTTGCCGGCGAACGGCAGCCGGTCGCGAAACGGTATCCCGCAATTTCTTTGTTCCCCGTCAGGATGACATTGGACTTACGATTTACATCGAGCGAAGATTATCCGACGAGACGGCAGGGAACGCTTGACCCGGAAACGTGACTTTTTTATGAAATATTCTGGGTCTTTCGAGTGTCGTGTAAGCTCGAGCGTTATCCTCAGCCGGAGAGACATTCTTGCGGAATGTCGTAAAATTAGTTGAATCCGCTTGGCGTAGACGGATGTATGAAGATT